CCAGTTAACATTATTTTGTACAACAGAGATCGTCACATCGGCTACACCGTGCGGCTGCTCGTTGTGGTTGCAGGACAGCCACGACGCAAGACGTGCACGTTCCTTCCGCAGCCAGAGGAGGCTTAGGTTCGTTTAGCCAAGCACCTATAGGGTCCATAGGCATTGCGTATGAGGACGAGGTGGACCAGAGGCATGAGGAGCTTGGTCCGTCTCAGTTCTAGGATGCTCCCTCGACTCAGCCTACACAGCCTTCAGGCACTAGGCGACGCCGTCCACCTGACCCTTACACTCCAGGCACCGATGTTCTTGGTCACAAGGGTAAGGGTAAGACTAGGAGGCAGTGAGGGTTTGTGGTAGATGTTATTGTGTAGTATTATGGACTTTGTGGATTTTTATTATGAACTATTATGGACTGTATGGACTATTATTATCAAATATGAACTATTATGGACTATAATTATGGACTGTGTGGACTATTAATATGCTCATGTATATGGTTTCAGATGAATGTGGCATATATTTGTATATTTGTACATGTTGTATTGAGGTTAAATATTCATCTCATATTTGTGTATGGATGGCATAAAAAAATAGGGAAAATTATGGCGAAATTTTTTGCCTAAAGTACGTATTAATCAGCGACATCAGTTTTTTTGTTTCAAAATAGTGATTAATGTCTGAAATCAAATAGGCTTTTCAATCATGGAATCTAGGGGAAATAGCCTTTACAGTGATTTGTCATGTTACCGTCGAATAGACTTTTCAGTGTCCTTCGAAATAGTGATTGAAGTCTGAAATCGAATAGGTTTTTCAGTCATGGAATCTAGGCTCTCCAGTGTCCTACGATGTAGGCTTTCCTGTGATTCTGAGTAGACTTTCCAGGAGCATTTACAACACAATACAACGGCTAGCAAACCTGCCTCCGCCTATATATATGCGTTCTAGGATGCATTGCTAAACAAAAGAAAAACCAAACTAGTATTCGGTTTCATTGGAGTAGGAATGTCTAGAGGGCCATCTAGAGGAAAGGGTTTTAGGAGTCGGAGAGGAAACGGGGGACGAAGGGAACTCCCATTGTGTGCGAGGGGTCTCTTGGGCCTGATTTCTTTGAGGATCCAGTGTATCAGTTTCCCCCCGAGAGCAAGAGTGATTTCACTAAAGAGTGCCCTATCAGAGGATACAATAATAGGAAGGAAGATTGACCAAAATACATGCATGGTGAGGACTGTTTAGTGCAGATGTTCACCGAGGGGATCGACAGAGGTCGTCGCTTCTTCAAATGCCCGCGAGCATGGGTAATTGCTATTACATTTCGTTTGTTAAATATGTTTCTTGAATACCTTTACAACTCATAGGACATACTTATTATAGTCTTCCGAGTCCGAAGAAAACTATGGATTCACTAGGTGGGTCGATCCTCGACTAATTTATCCGCATCAATAGTACATCTACTACCTGCAGGACCAAATCTTCGATCTACAAAGTGAAATTAGCAGCGGGTACAAGGAAGACGAAGATGACGACAACAACAATGGTGTAATTTCACAGGAGGCACTCTGCAATGATCCATATTGCACCTGCCATAATCACAAGAACAAGGGGCCTCCATCGTCACCCCCGCCGCCACCACCACCAACAATAGGAGGCTACTGTGGAGAAGATGCAACACAATTTGCTATGTGGCCACACTACTAGGACGACCCTATCTTATTCACATGGCACATCCATATGTTTGTTGTTTGGTTTAATTACCTAAGGCATGTTAGATTTAGTCGAAGGAACTATGTACCCTTGTTTGGTACATGTTCTCACATGCCATTTCTTGTGCTTGTTGTTCACTTCAATTACCTAAGGCATGTTAGGTTTAGTTCAGGACCTCTGTACCCTAGTTCGGTACATGTTCTCACATGCCATTTCATGTATTTTGTGTGTTGAATTTTATAATGCCCTACTTCATTAGATTTTGTTTGCAGCACATGATCACATTTCACTATGTCCGCAATATTAAACTGAATATTATGACCACAAATAATGAAAATAACTACATAATGAAAAGTCCAATACTATGACACATTAAACAACACAATAATACTAGATGTACGTGCCGACAAACTAAATAACGCAGTACATGACCTAAGCATGCCCATACTTAAAGTGCATTACATGACAACACAATGAAAAGTCCAACAACAGACAACATTGTTCTTGAATAAACTATAGAACTAGCAAGTAATGGAGACTACTGAGTGCAATGAGACCACTTTTCTTTCCTCAGGGCATCAGGATTCTCCTCCATCGCTGCTTTTTGCTTGGCATGCACACTCAAGCATCTTCTTCCTCTCCTCCCTGTACGCAGCAACACACCTCCTTTCCTCCTCTTCCTTGTGCTCCTTTTTTGCAGCCTCCTCTCCGCGTCTCTTCTCCATCATCTTCTTGTCCTCTGCCTCTCACCACAACAGTTTCTGCATCCATTCCTTGTCTTCAGGCTTGATCTTAGTGTCGATCCACTACTCAAAATCACAGAGCGGTGGAGGGGTATGCAAAAAAATATAATTGTTACAAAACAAAAAAATAATGAAAGATGTCATATGACACAAACATCACATCCTCACTATCTTGTTAATGCGGCGCTGATGAAGTGTAGGCTCAAACGTAAAATTGGAACACATTCAATACCTCTGCCTATATGTGTCCACTTCATCGAACTTGGCTATACCTTGCAAGGATCACCGCAAAAGCACATGGGCACTGGAACACCACTAGACAGAGGCAATGGGTCGAAGGCATTTTCGGTCATCCGGCCATAACTACAATTTAGCTATTTTCGTTCTAAGAACCGAAAGCAATTAATATTAAACCCTACACTAGGGTTTCCCATTTGATCCACAACAATGAACCCATATCATAACAACGTGCGCTGAGGTTACCTTGGTTTGGTAGGTTTTCCACGCTTTGGCATCCTACGATTGTATAATATAAATATTAAAATTGCATGAAACCTTCAGTAATGACGATTCTTAAGTTGAAAAATCTGACTAATATATACCGAATCGATTTGAAAAAAAACTAGGAGGGAACGAGGATACCTTGCTCTTGAAGATCTACGGATCAAATTAAAGTTTTCAAGGTTCAATATGCCAATTCTTGAGGTAGGGCGAAGTGAGGAGAGAAAAAAACCCGAGAGGGAGGAGAAAGAAAGAAGAAGAAGGCTCGGGCAGGAAGGTTGGGCGCCGGGTTAAAACACCACCTCGGCGCCATAGATCTTGGAGCCGTTCTCGGCGCCAATAACCACGGCGCCAAGCTTGGGGCGAATAACCACGGCGCTAAGCTCGGCGCCAAGATCTACGGCGCCAAAGTGCCTATCAAGTCACCGCCACGTCTATGCCGAGCCCAAGACCTAGGTGTCAAAATCTATGGTGCCGAGACGTGTAAGCTCGGCGCCACCAACGATGGCGCCGAGCTAAGGGTCCAGATTTTGAAAGCATATCTCTAGGGGCATATTTGTGAAAAATTTTCATAAAAATGGCTAAAAACAAAAAAAAAAAATTCGGTGCCCTTGTCTGCCGCTGGTCGCCGGCCTGGTCCCTCGCTCCATGCCACGGTCTCTCCTCGTCTTCACCACAGAAAGACAGACGATGTAGCTAGGTGCAGCCAAGGGTAGAAATCGGCTACAAAGGACTATGGATGTCATGTTGGGTGAGCAAGAGGAGGCGGCAGCCAGGCAGGGCTCCCTCATCCTCCGTGATCTGCCATGGTTTCTTGTGCACTAAATCACTCGTCAACTGCATTGTTGTTGCCTCGACGGTGTGCAGCCAGGCCAGGGTTTGCGCCCTCGAGTAGGTGTGTGTTCACCTTGTCATCCTGGGATACATTATACGCTAATTTTCTACGTGGTCAAAGTGAGTGACCGCAGTAGTACAACCGTAATATAATCCTCCTTCGAGCTGAAGGTTCGGCTACTAGAGAATTCTATAGTACACGTACTAGTATACATCCTAATCCAAGGGTCATGCAACCTCAATCTTTTTTTTCAAAAAAAATATTGGTACTTTCTTTACTATGATGAATCGTCAGTAATTAGTTGTATTGTACTATCAAACGGTAGAGTGTAATAAATCATATTATATAGGGGTAATTTATATCCCTCGACAGTACAGTGGGGATTTTAGAGCATATATCAATGCAACCCGCTTACCTTATGTTCCATATCTAGAAGAGACCACAAGATTGAAGAGGACAACTACAATTGTGTGCTATGCAATCTAAATCTAGAAAAGACCACATACCATCTGTTTTTTTGAATGCCAATTCAGCACTAGGTGTTGGAATTTTATTGGGATCTCTTTGGGATCATGTCCTCAGTTTATTTGATACAATCTAGAGAGCAAAAGCAGAATGTCAACATCAATTCTTTATGGAAGTCTTCACTATTGCACCATGGGAGATATGGAAACAAAGAAATGATCAAATGTTCAAAGGAAATCAAGCTTCCTTCGAGTCTTGGAAATCATGTTTTGTACATAATATAAAGCACACCTAAGGCCCCGTTCGCTTCGCGAAACACTGTTCCGGCTGATTTGTTGTGAGAGAAAAATAATGTTCTAACTAAAAAGACAAGCCGAAAAGTACGAATTATAAGACAAGCGAACAGGGCCTTAAGCCCATTCCTAGACTCAGCCTCTCCCTCTGGCTAAACAGCATGCTGTAAAGTTTTCTAGTTTTACCCTTGATGGGTTTGTTGTACAGCTTTGCTAACTCTTATATATTAATATAAGTGAAATTTTACGGTGCTCGGAGAAAACAAGAGCCATTCATTTAGATAGATCAAACGGCTATAAAATGAGAAGAACCAATGTAGAGGAACTTAAGTTGTGGGCCGGAACCAGAAATATATGGATCCGGAACCAAGAATATATGGATCACCAATTATTTTTAAACTAAATTTGAAGGGTAAAAAAGTACTTTCTGCTCCTTATCTTCGTGTGTGAGCTCTATCTCCTTCACGCCATGGTGAGCAGCGGCAGCGCCAGCGACGTGCAGGTGCTCTTAGCAGAGCACGCGCCGGCCAGGAAGAAGTATAGCGGAAGCTGCCACGCGATGGTGATCTCCTCGCCGCGCTCCGCGCTGTCGAGCCGCTTCATCTCCACGAGCGCTGATATCGCCATCGCGAGCGCCATGAGCAGCCGCCCGGCGCCCATGCACTGCAGCTGGGACGGCTCGCCGTCGCCGCCGGAGGAGAAACCCCTCAGCACCGTCACGATCACCTTGCTGTGTAGAGCAGCACCCACGTGAGGACGCATAGCACCTCGAAAGAGCCCATAGATGCCGCCTCCAAAGGAACGGAGAGGATGGACATGTTCATGGCGCTTCCCTGCTGGATTAACGTGGTGTTCATCTGCGTGTACACCGAGGACATGATGATGCTAGTCACCCAGATGGGCGGCAGCCGCAGCAGGTTCTTGAGCTCATCCACCAGCGTCACGGTGCAGAGCTTCCACGACGAGCCGGCTTCCTCTGCCATCTCCTCCACTGGTGGTGAGGGCAGCGGCGAGGCGACGCGATTGGCGCCGACCCAGAGAGGCGCCGAGGCGGGCGCGACCCTAGGGATACGCGTCGTGGTGATGAGGGTGGGTGACGTGATTAGCGGCGAGCTGGGAAGCGGCAAGCCGGCGACCTGGGGGCGGCGACGCAGGGAGTAGCGAGCTCTCGCGACGGACGGAGTCACGGAGGAGCGTTTATGGAATTGGTTAGATTGTGTACAGCAGCAAAAATACGAAACTGCCCTTAATTACAATCAGTCATTTATCTTAATTAATACCTGCAGAAAATATGGTTCCTCCATACCACAGTAGGGTTTCCCCCGCTGTATTCCCCTAAAAAAAATATATGTTCTGTCGGTGTTTCGATTCACCGGCCAGTAAATTTCTAGTTTACGCGTTTGATTCGGATGACTGTGCTCGGAGGACACAATGATTTATACTAGTTCGGACGGAATGTCTCTACGTCCAGTCTGCTGTTGCTCGTGTTATCGGCACTTGGTGTGTAGTAGGGGTTACAAACAGACGAGAGAGGGAGAAAGTCTCAAGTCTCTTGTGAAAAGAGTGAGTTTGGTTGAGCTCTCTCTCTACTGTCGAGCGCCTAAGCCTTTAGTAGCTCAGACGTGTTAGATGTGTGGGAATGCTTCCTCTTTTATAGATGAAGGGGAATATGTAGGTTGCATCAGAGAGAGAGAGACGAGGAGAGGAAGGCTTCCGGGATTGCGACGTCTTCCATCTCCTTTACGCGGGTCCCGCTGGCCCTGTAGATGACGACGAGGACGGCTCCACGTCGCAGCCCTGTTCGTCACTGGCGCCATAAGCGGGCGTCGTCAGCTGGTCGTGGCGCTCCATTCCGTCCCAGCGGATGGTATGGCTAGCTGAAACCTCCAGTGGAGCCGTACGGGAAGTAGGTAGCACAGCGTCGGCATGCCCGATGCTGTTGGCGACGTGCGTCCTTAGACGTGGCCCGTCGCTGGCCGTGGGTCACGTCGCGCCTGCTCCGCTTCTGGCATCAGAAGTTTGACCCTGGACTTGTACTTTTGGACCCATAGTGGTTGGGGCGGTACGGACCTCCATCGGGCGAGGCGGAGCCCGTTCCGTTGAGGTCGGGCGAGGCGAAGCCCGCTCTGTCGGGGTCGAGCGAGGCGGAGCCCATGCTCTCGGGATCGGGCGAGGCGGAGTCCACGCCCTCGGGGTCGGACGTGACGGGGCTCTTGCCCGAGGGGTCGGCGAGACGGAGCCCATGCCCTTGGGGTCGGGTGACCCGGATCCCGTGTCCTTGAGGTCGGACGAGACAGAGCCCATGCCCTCTGGGCCGGGTGAGACCAAGATACACTCTTGACTATCTGAGAGAGTTAGCGTTCGCGGCCATTAGCTTCCTTCTTCCGGGTATCCCTGATACTTATACCCGACAGTAGCCCCTGAGCTTGTGGAGGAGTAGGATACTCCTTCGAAGGCTTTTTTGGACGGATGGATTCTGAGGATCTTGATCTCCCTTTGCGGACCGCAGGGTTGTCTTGGTATGGTCGAGATTCCTTTCCGTCGTGTTCGAACTCCTCGGGAGCATGTAGCTACAGGATTCGGGGAATAAAAAGAGATCTCTCTTGATTCTAATTCCTCCCTAGGATCCGACCGATCCGCCATTGGTATTGGACCGCGTATTCGGTCTCCTTGCGATTCCAACTCTTGAGCCCCCGCGTGCAGCAAGGGTCCAGTCGATGGGTCAGCTCATCTTGTAATCGTCCTCCCTCGTTTTTTCGATAAAATAGAGGGGCTGAGCCATGCCATGTTTTCCTCGATGAACGAATCATGGTGCTCGGTGAGCTGTTAACGGGCTAGTCCGAGTGCGGTCCCGGCTTCCCGTTCGTGGGGGTCCGGCATGGGTCAGCTGGTGACCGACTCCAGATTCCTGGTGGATAGTCCATATAGTTCTCGAGTCCATTCGACCGGTCCCAAGGGCTTGTTGCTTTTTTCGAGGAAAAACCATGGACTGTGCACCGCCCAAGACTCAAACGTGGGTCGAGATGCCCGTGGCACTCGTGCGCCCGAGTACTGGCCGCTAGCATGTGGCAGAACCGCCTGAAATAGCATACTTTCAGAGGCACTTGTCTTCCACTAGACACTAAGCACCCCGGAAGTGGCTAAATCAAACAGTTCCATCGAGTCCACCCCAAGGGAGAACTCAAAAATTCACATTTTGTATCAGGATCATAAATAAGAGGATAAAGCTTACAACACTCTTAGCCATTTCTTACATCACTTTATTACAACTGTAAGGAAAATGGACCCTAGGCCCATTTAGTTTGGATTTTGGTGTTTGATGACTAACACAACCAAATTGAACTAATAAATTTGCAAGTAATTATTTTGTACTTCAATAGGGTGTAAGACGTGACTTGGACGAAGGCGACATGATGATCCCACGATCAACACCATAAGCAAGACCCTTGAAGCATAAGGGAAGACCCAAGATATCAAGCAAAGTCCAAGCACGAAGATGGGAACCAAGCAGGACGCAAGATCGCGAAGAAACGAGCTCGACAGAGGTGACCGGACGTGGCCCTATGAGGACTGAACGTGTCCGATCAGTTGCTCAGCAACAGCAGGCGTCAGCAGCAGCGATCGGATGTAGAGCAAGGCAGTGACCGGACGCATAGACTTCACTGTTCATGGTCAACAGCAACGTTCTTCGCGTGACCGGACCCGACGGCAGGACGCACCAAGAAGCGGCGTCCGATCCTGTCTAGAGAGGTTCCAGAATGGCGCCAGCGTGACCGGATGTGTCCGATTGAGTGAGACCGGACTCGGCCTAACGTCCGATCAACGCGCGCGCTCAACGGTCGGGACGACCGGACGTGTCTGGTCAGGACGACAGCAGCGTCCGGTCAGTAGTAGAAAGTTGGGTTTCGCCCTCAACGGCTACTTTCTTTATGGGGCTTATAAGTAGACCCCTCAACCGGCCATTTGTTGTGCGAAGAGCAGAGGAAACATACCAAGGGTGTTGATACACCATTTTAGTGATCTCCACTTGCATAGTGCTTAGTGATTCATTAGGTGATTAGCGTAGGTGCTTTGCGAAGTGCTTAGGTTGATTAGACCATCGCTTATGCGCTTGCTCTAGGTTTAGGACTAGTGTTTAGTAAGGTTTGCATACCTCTTACCACTCGGTGCTCGCGCATACTATTGTTGTACATCAGAGGGGCTTGTAGTCTTGCGAGATCACACCAACCATGTTTGTGGTGTGGCTGCCACCATGTACCGGAGGGAATAAGGCCCGCAGCATTTCGGCTGGAAGCTTGATAGTGAAGACAGTGGGGAGCGGTCCGGGAGAGGCCTGCCGAAAGGCACACCAGAGACCCACTTGCATGTGGGGAAGGCCCAGGGCTATCCACGGAGTTACCCGACCAGGAGCTTGGCCCTTGCGAGGGATTCCTTGCGAGGGGCTCCAACGAGAACTAGGGGAAGCTTGCGCGTTTCTCGATACCTCGGTAAAAATACCAGAGTCATCGACAGGAGTTTGCATATCTCTACCAAACTCTTTAGCTTCCGTATTTTACATTGCAATCTTGGTTTGTGCTTTACTTCCTAGCTTAGTGATAGGCTAGTTGATAGGTCTAGAACCTAGGTTGCATAACTCCTTTTTGTGGTAGAGATAACAACACACTAGCAAAACCATAGTTGCACATTTAGATAGTTTATCTTTTGCATAGGTTTTTGCTAAGTATTGAAAAAGAGGCTATAGTTTAGAGTTAGAGTTTTAAGTTGCCTAATTCACCCCCCTCTTAGGCATCATGGTCCCTTACAAGTGGTATCAGAGTCGGTTGGCTTAATTTGGACCTTTGGCTTCACCGCCGTTGAGCCGGCGCTATTTAGAGTGGTTGGGATGGATACCTCTAGGCCTCCGCACTTTGACGGAACTAACTTCCCCTACTATAAAGCTAGAATGGCTTGTCACCTTGAGGCAGTAGATTTGGGTGTTTGGAGAGTCACTCGTGATGGGATGAAATCCATTAAGAATCCCGATATACCCACAAAGAGTGAAGAAAAAGAAATTCATTTCAATGCTAGAGCTAAAAATTGCTTGTTTGAATCTTTTAGCATAGATGTGTTTAACCAAGTGTTTACTTTAAATACGGCACATGAAATTTGGTTAAAACTCCAAGAGCTCCATCATGGCACAACTAATGTCCATCAGCAAAAATATTGTCTAGTTAAACAAAATTATGATTCCTTTAAAATGAATGATGATGAGCTTGTTCGTGATATGTATTCTTGTTTGAATCTAATTATCAATGAGCTCCATTCAATAGGATTAACAAAGCTAGATGATGCGGACATCGTGAGGAAGATCATCTCCATGCTACCACAAAAAAATATGCAAGCATCATCACCATCCTTCACAACATGGAGGACTTGAGCACCATGACCCCGACCATAGTCATTGGTAAGATAGTGGCATTTGAAATGTCATGGAAGATGGGTCAAGAAGAAGCCTCGTCATCAAGCAAAGGCAAAGCTCTAGCATGTAGTGAGAAAAAGAAGATGAAGGGCAAGCAAGTTGATACAAGCTCAAGCTCAAGCTCCTCAAGTGAAGATGAAGAAGAATATGAGGATGATGATGATGATGATGTAGATTCAGGTGATGATGATCAATCTTCCTCCTCCACCTCTGACCTTGATAAAGAATCAATCAAACTTATCAACAAGGTGGATAAGATGATCCAAAGGCTCAATGTCAAGGGTGTGCCCATCCAAATTCAAGATTTCATCTTCGCTAATCAAAGAAATGAGGAAAAAAGAAAGGATGCTATGGATGTGGCGAGTTGGGGCACTTTGTGGAAGTTTATTCAAACAAGCCCATACCCAAGACAAAGAAGAAGGCATACAAGGACAAATCCCTCACATCAATAACATCATGTGATGATTCTTCAAGTGAAGAAGAAGACCATCACACTAGGCGAGGCCACAAGCACTCATCATCAAG